AAGAGAAGAGAAGAGAAGAGAAGAGAAGAGAAGAGAAGAGAAGAGAAAGAAGACAGGAGAGAGAGGCAGAAACAGAGAGAGACAGACAGATGAAGAAGAAGAAAGAAGAAGAAGAAGAAGAAGAAGAAGAAGAAGAAGAAGAAGAAGAAGAAGAAGAAGAAGAAGAAGAAACAGCAAACTTTGTTCTCAGGGCAAGGAGAGGAGAGACGTGGCGGATGTGAAACCCAGACTCTTTCAGCCCAGAAGCAGAAAAAACTGGCCTCATGGAAGAACAAGTAGATGCTAGGATAGATTATCCTGAAGGGACAGGCCTGAGACCTTGTACTAGAAGAAAGGGGCTTGGTTTTTCACCCTTGCCACATTCCTATCCTGAACGAACCCAAGAGACAAAGTGGAGGTCATGCAGGGGCTTGCCTAAAAGGAGGGCACTGAAGCAGCTTCAGGTCAAAGCACCACCTGGTGACTTACACAGGAACTGTGCTCTGAGTCATCCCACCACTAGACAAAGTACATGGGCACTACCTGTGTACCCACCTGACTTTCCAGTTCTAGTGCCAAAGGGAGACAGGTACTCTCCCGAAGAGAAGAAATACCTGTTCTTACAATAAGATCATAGGTTTTAGAGAAGAAAAGGAAGAGAACTAAGACCAACCTCTTCGTTTTACAGATAAGGAAACTGAGACCTGGAAAGGGAAACTTGCCCAAGGTCACATAGGTAGGTAGTAAAGCAGCCTAACTCGTGTGCTTTGACTACTCTTCCTCTTCTTGAGAAGGGCAGGTTCCAGGATTGAAGGCTGCAAGGAGTATGGGCTATAGGGTGTGAGAAGCAGCAGCACTTGGAAGGAGCTAATAAACACCAGTTAAAACTAAAGCTGAGCAGACTAGATACCATGAAGATGAACTGATGATATTCCTCAATGTCCCAGGAATCATCCTTCAGCCATGGGTGTGGCACCCATACTCCCCTTCTCTCTCTTGGCTGGCTCACTGCCCCTTCAACTTGTCCTCATGCTAGAAGGCCTGGAAAGAAGAGGGGAAATGGGATGGGATGGAGGGGCCGTAGCCAAGGCCATACTACCACTACTATTTACTGGCAGGATACTAAGAGAAGATCTAATTTGGGAGGAATACACTCATATTTCCTGCCATTGTGACGCCTGAGCTTCAAGTGATGTGTTTCCCATTTCCACAAAATCAGTCACAATGATGCCATTGACTCTTGACCATGAAACATTTACTAAATGATAAAGGAAAAAATCCAGAATAATGATAAAATTTACTCATAAAAATCAGGAATAATCATAATGTTTACTCAATAGAAGGCAAAAGCAGGAATAATAAAAATATGACAATCGATCCATAAGGCAATGCAAGTGGTATCCTTGGGGAAGAGTGGGCATATTTCAAGGAACTTAGCAGTTAGGCGTATGATTTGGGAAACCCATTGCCCAGAGAAACTCAAGAGTCTAAAAAGAAGGCTTTGATTTCCTCCGTTTCTTTAGGGAACACTGTACCACGTGACTCCTGCTAGGCAAAACCGCTTCCCTGCTAGTCTTGGACCACTGACACAGGGTGTGGCTCACTTAGCACACAGCTGCAGCTGGCAGGGTGCTGAGAAAGTGTTATGTTCTTTTAGCAAAAAGAAGTGAGCTTAGCTCCCAGAAAAGCATATATAAAATCTGGCTTTCTCCTTCTACTCCCTCCTCTCTTCAGCTGTAGAGAGAAGTAATGGGCAACACAGGCATGCCAGAGAGGTTTCCCTCTCTGAAGATAGAGCACTAAAAGGCACCAGCTCTCCACTTTGCATGTGCAGCTGTGTGTGTTTGGAACTCCATGAAACATCATGTCCCCACACACGGTACTCCTGGTGTTCCCCTCTCCAGCTTCTTCTTGTGCGTTGTGTTCCCCCATGGATTGTAAGCTCCCTGAGGACAGGATCTGTCTTTCTCTTTTTTATATCCCACGTGCTTCATACAGTGCTTGGCACTTAGTAGGCACTTAATGTTTGTTTATTGAATTGAGTTGAATAAGCCCAGACAGCTCTTCAAAAAGCATTTTGCTTTCCTCCAATCAGCTTCTAGCAACTGTAGTACTCTTTTCCAATTAAACAGCTTCTTGCCTCAACTACAAAGCTTCTGTAAGCTGTTTTGAAAGTATTTTTTCTCACGCCTTTCTATGTCTTCTCTCCCCAGCTTCTTCTAACTATTCCTCCTCAACTTCTCTTTTTTTTTCTTTTTTTTCTTTTCTTTTGCTGAGGCAATCAGGGTTAAGTAACTTGCCCAGGGTCACACAGCTAGTAAGTGTCAAGTGTTTGAGGCCACATTTGAATTCAGATCCTTCTGACTCCAGGGCCAGAGCTCTATCCACTGCGCCACCTAGCTGCCTCCTCCTCAACTTCTCTTAGTCCCTCTGCTATGTTCTATAGCATCTTCTATCTTCCAATATCTCAAATCAGAGATTCTTAGTCTTTTGTGATTTATGTCTTATGATGAAAACAACAACAACAACAAAAACCCACCATTAACCTTGACAGTCTTGATATAATCATCCCATATTCCCTGAACAGTTATTTGATTTATAGTTTGGTAGCCATATCCTTCAAACTCTGTAAACTATTCTATGTAAATGAAATGGTGGACCACAAGGCATCGCAGCCATCTTTACCTCCATTGGTGCTCTGCTTTCACACAGATCCTCTCAGTCCATTTATCAAAGGGGTGATATTTTTTCCTCCAGTCCCCAGAACAGTCTATATCTCTACTCAAGCACTTTTATCTGAGGGGCTGTGTTTCTTCTCAAGTTGAATTTATCAATATTCCACTCCCAAATGTCCTTCTTTCTGCCCTTCTCAGAAACCAAAACATCCACATAACAATGCACATGCATGCACATGCTACGTGGCTCTAGCACACATATATATCCATGAATGTCTGCATGTGTACTTGTGCTTACAGTCATGTGATTTGCACATGTACCACAGGGGCCTTGGTTGAGTCTGTGTAGATGTGGGACATCCTTTTAAGCTGAACTTGCCCTCACTGCTCCTGGTTCTGCCCTTCGGAGGCAGGCTAATCCCTCTCTCTTGTGAAGGCCATTCAAGTACAAGACCAACATTTGGTCTTCTCTTGTCCAGTTCTTTCAACTGATCCCCATATATCCTGATTTTGAGTAACAAAGTTATTAAAGATTTTCTTGTCATTGTTCAGTTATTTCCTACTCTCTGTGACCCCATTTGGGGTTTTCTTGGTGAAGATACTAGAGTGGTTTGTCATTTCCTTCTCCAGCTTATTTTACAGAGGAGGAAACTGAGGCAAACAGAGTGAACTGACTTGTCTAGGGTCACACAACTAGTAAATGTCTCAGGCCAGATTTGAACTCAGGAAGATGAATCTTCCTGACTCTAGGTCTGGAGCTCTAGCTTTGTTGGAATCCAGGTCTTTTAAGGTTACAGCATTCCATTAACTACTCAGTCTAGCGACCTTGTTAAGAATAAAGTCAAGGAAGTCATTCTGGTCTGGTCTGTTCTTGGTAAACAAACATTGGCTCTCAGTGATCACTGATTCCCCTTCTAAATACTCATAAGCCATCCCTTTAACTGTATGATTGTTCTTGGTCATGTTGGGTTTGTGCACTACTGGGACGTCTAAATGGATGTGTCCAGAAGGAAGTCTGCAAGGCAAGGATGGGGTAGGGTGGGGTGGGGAAGATCCCGAATAGGGAGCCCTCAGCCTACAAGTGATCACTGAACCACTAGTGGAATGAATGGGATGCTCAAGAGAAAGAAAAGATGACCTAAGATGGAGTCTAAGGGGATGGCCACTCTTGGTCAGGGTAGAAAGAAAGAGGAGGCGTCTGAAAAGGAGACGCAGAGCAGAGTCAGACAGGAAGGAGGAGAACAAGGAGAGAGCCGTGTCATGGAAGCCGAAGGAGGAGAAGGTAGTCAGCAGAGATGACTGTTGGGGTGACATCAAGGAAGATGAGGTCTGAGCAACAGCTGCTGAACCACAAGGTAGACTTGCTGTTGTAGGAAGTGTCTGAGCAAACTCCATGTGACAGTGACCTCGGTGACATCCTGGTGGGAACTGGGACAAAGTGTGGCCATGAGCCAGAGAAATACACACAGACACAGACACACACAGACACACACACAGAGACACAGACACACACACAGACACACACAGAGACACACACACAGACACACACACAGACACACACACACAGAAACACACAGAGACACACACACAGAGACACACACATACAGACACACACACACAGACACACACACACACACACAGAGACACACACACATACACACACAGACACACACACAGAGACACACACACACACACACACACACACACACACGGAAGAAGCCATTTTAAATATCATGCAATTTGTCTGCAGACATTTCAAAGGCATCTTCTAGAAGAAACCCAGGGCAAAGGGATCAGGCCACTGTAAGCTAAGCCTGCAAAGTCAGCAGGTTGAATCTATTGTCTAAAAATGGGAACTGAGGTAAGGAGGAGCCAGAATCCAGGAGCGGGAGACTTCCCGAGAAAGCTCTGAGCTCAAGGCAACTACATTCTGGGAATGTTTCAGATGAAAGGTACACAGATAAGGGTAGTCCTGGGGATGGCATGGAGGGGGCAAAGGACAGCTCAGACAAACATCTGTGGGGACTTGGCAGGAAGGGGAGGAGTCTTTCAGCTGTATTTTCTTCATTAGTAAAATGCTATTTGTGGAAAAAACCACCCATGGCCCAATCAAACTGGCTGTTCCTTTATAAGGAAGTTTTAGCTGATGACCCATCAGCAGTGGCCCAAGGAGAAAGTCAGAGTCCTACTTGGGGTGGGGGTGGGGGGAAGCAGAAATTGGGCCACATTTACAGAGAAGCCCCCCTTCCAAGCTAGGCTGGCCTCACACTTCTAGGGGCTGCTCCTGCCCACTTGGGTCCCCTTTTTCACGGATGGAGGATGTGGTTGACACTGGGGCCCAGGGCCGTCCTGCAGGCTGAGGACCCACTCACAAAACCTCTGCCTCCTTGGTGTCTAGGTCCTCCTAGTTCCTAACAGCTGTTTTGGCAGCTACAGAAGGAATGTCATTCCTCATTCAACAAGGTCTTCTACCATTGGACTTAATGCACCCTAGATTGAGAAATCACTTGGATAATGACCAAGCAGGAAATTCTTTTTCAGTAGATGAAGCTAAGGTATCAACCCCAATAGCAGAAGAGAGGAAGCAGTACAGCCCAGAACCCCACCCTTCAACTATTCCAACAAAGACCTAAAACTGAGTGCCAGACAGAGTAATGATTGGGGAGCAGAAAGAGAAACCCCAGTGGGGCATCTTTCCATAACAAGGTCACATTTTCAACTCACAAGCAAGTGACCAGGGTCGAAACTGTGGGAGAGGGACAACTAGAATCAGGGCCCCAGCCTGCAGCATCTAACCCCAGGCCCAAATCAGAATGCTGACCCAGAGGAGGCATCTCAGGGCCTCCGTGCCTTCCCTTTGAAGGGAATAGTGGCTCTGTGGTTTCTGTGACCCAAGAGAGGGACTCAGCCCCAGATGCAGGGGAAAGAGCAGGGAAGTCACTTGGAACCTGCAGAACCCTTGGGCACCTGTTCTGTTTGGCCACAAAAGGTTGGCAGAGGACCAAGTGGCTGGAATGTGTAAAGAGGCTGATTAAGGCTAGAAGGCAGAGAACACCTCTAATGATAAGAGCTGTCTAAAAGCAGAAGGAGCTTCCTTAAGAGGTGGTGCTTTGACACCTGCTTCTCTGGAGATCTCCAAGCACAGGCCAAAGGCCACTTGTCAGGTGTGGCCCAGGGCGATCTCGTACCTGCCCCTGAGCTCTCTCCAGCTCAGACGGCGTTGGTCAGGAGAACTCCTTGACTGACTTTGTGAGCTTACAGGGTGGATCGCCTTTGTTCACTTTCTCTTCTGGAGAAGACTAGGGGACACACTCAGAAAACCCCATTGAAAATGGATGTTTCTACTCTCTTCATCTGGGGATGGTGTGGTTAGTTGTAGAATTGTTGTAGACTGTAGCCATCCCTATGAGTTGGGCCTACAAAAGTTAGGGGTTAGTTGCTGAGTTGCCTGGTACATAGTAGGAGATTAATAAATGTTGATTGATTTTTTGGGAGAGCTACGGAGAGAGCAGAGAGAAGACTTGAGGCCCAGGTCATCAAAGTTCATGCCTGATCATCAATACAGGCAAACTCCACCCCAAAGTGATCAGCCATCCACCTCTCCCTCAGCCCTATCGAGAGAGAGCAAGAGTTTCTGGAGCAGCATTTTAGGGAGAAAAGGGTTGAGCACATGGGGAAAGGAACAAGCATTTATTGGCACTTACTCCAGGCCAAGCATGGTGCTAAGGACTTCACAAACATCATCTCATTCGACATCTCTCTGGTGTCTGGAGCAGCAGCAACAGATTGAGGCATGACAAAAGGGTGCAAAAAGCTGACTCTGCCCTTGTCATCCTTGTGACTAATTCAGCCAGCGCAGGGCCAGCTGGGAAGGGGAAGCCTGCTTTGCAACACCAACTTCCTTTTCCCTCCCACAGGATTCTAGAGCACAGAGAAGTTCAGTGAGTCTGGAGGTGTATATGGGGGGCCCTGCGAAGAAATGGGACATATCTGGGGGAACAGTGCACTGATTCTCTCTAGGAGGTCATGAGGCCTTTATTGTGTCCTTGGCCTTCTCTGGAGGAATACTAGGAAGGCCACGTACCTGACTGGCCACATGCCCAGGAATAAACTTACACGGGAACATCTATGAAAAGTTTGATCCAATTGGTATTCGAGTTCCCAAAGAAAATTCTGGAAAACAAGTCAAAGAGATATGATGGGGAGGGGAGGACGGTTGAGGAGGGAAAGGGAGAATGTTCGAAGTGGCTGGGCCCCCCTCCCCCCCCCCCGGCCCACTCAGCTCAGACAGGCTGGCCGGCCGGGACTGAACACTGAGGTTTTATGGTTTTCTCCATCTAGAACTGAGAAACACAAGCGTCCCCACACGTCTGCCGGCCAGGCTTAACTGCTCCTCCTGAGCCACTCTCGACTCTAGACAAACTGGCATCCTTGCCAGTCCCCGGTCAGGACATGTCCTCTGCCCTTCCATGGCTTTGCACCTATCTGTCCCCCCTAGGCCTGTAACGCTCTCTCTCTCCTCACCTATGAACTCATAGGTGAGCTCAAGGGTCTCATCCCACAAGAGGCCGGCCATCATTCCCTTAGTGGTTAGTGCTCCCCCCCCCCCCCCCATTACGGCAGATAGATGGCGAAGTGGATAGAGCACAGGGCCTGGAGTCGGGAAGGGCAGAGTTCAAATCTGGCCTCAGACACTGACTAACTATGAGACCCTGAACAAGTCACTGTACCCTGGTTGCCTCAGTTTCTCCTCTGTGAAATGAGCAGGAGAAGGAAACGGCAAACCACTCCGGTATCTCTGCCAAGAAGACCCCAGTGGGGTCATGAAGAGTCTAGTTTCTTTAGTGGCTCGCTTTCAGTTCAGGTCGTTGCCCCGGCCCGAAAGGAGGAAAGCAATCTCTCTGAGGGCAGGGGGCCCTCTCTTTCTGCCGCCCCAGCCTTGCGTGAGGTGCATGAGACCAAAGACTTGTCGAACAGGGCAGAACCGACCCCCTGCCCATCCAGGGAGATCCCGTCCACTGGAAGATCTCCGTCTGCCTGGCCCCCCAGGGGGGCAGGGGGCTCGGGGCACACCCCCCCCACCCCACCCCCACCTCCTCCGCCCCGCAGGGGCAGCGCGCGGCGCGGGAATGGCGGGGCCACAGAGGGGCGGGCAGCAGGGGTGCCGGCACGTCTCGTGGGCCCGGGACAGGTCCTCGCGGCCGCGGGAGGCCGGAGAAGCGGTTCTAACGGACCGGGCCGGGCGCGGGCGGCCGTGGGGAGGGAGGGGGAGAGAGGAGCCCAGCGGCCCGCGCAGGATC